CACACACACACACACACACACACACATCCGCGCGCACCACATGCACACGCACACATATTATAAAGAATGCATTCATTATTAACTGATTATCTCTATCTCTCATTTTTTTCTTATTAGGAATGGAAAGAAGTGAATGAAGATCTACTAAGCAGATTTTCAAGATATCAGTACAGATTTTTAAAAAGTTTATTTTAACTTGAGTTCTATGACTATTTAAGCAAATGTTACTTTTTGCGTTTAATTCTTCACAATCCAGAAATATGAAAATTAACCGACTACTAATCTTTTATTATAAAATATAATTATGTCTTCACAATCTGTTTAAATATTTATAATAAAATAATGTCTGTAGACATTATGTTATATTAGATGATGGTTAATTGTAAACATTAAATGAAGAATTCATGAGCATAATATTTTTTTAAAGTTTATTTTATACTATATAATAAAACTATTATTATTTACTCCATTATTACTTAAAATGAATGCAAAAAATGTGCAAATTTTATATAGTTACGTGCATGTGTATTAATATAGTTTAATATTAAAGTGAATGGGACAGAATTAAGAATGAGTCAGCAACGCTGAAACTTATCTAAGTGTGTTTTCCAATTGTTAAAATTTATTTCGTTAAAATTTAATACCTTAAAAATTATTTTACGTACGTTTTTATCTATAATAAATTTCTTATGAACAATAATATATGGTTCAATTCGTATAAAAAAGTTATATCATTTAATTCGTAAAATAATGCTAAATATAGCATTCAGTTATAATTATAATGCATGTCAATATTACAATCATAAATCAATAAGTGCTTTAAAATAGAAATACATATCATAAAAAAATATATTAGATAATATTATTTATCTATCTGTTATAAAATTAATAGTTTTCTATATTATTTAGATACGGATAAAAAATTAAAAAATTTTAAGAAAAATCAGTTATTTTATTGACAATTTTTATTAATTTTATTGTTTATTATTATTATTAATGTTACGCCGAATGTTTGCTTGTATACCTCTTTTATTTTATCATAGACAGTGCCTACAAAGACTTCAATTTAATTCGCTTTTATAAGAATTTATACGTATTTATTGAACAAAACTATGTTTCTTCAAGAGAGTAGAATCTTTAAATTGGTAGTACGCGTAGACGCGTGAATGTTGCCATCATTTTCGCAGCCGCAAAAGGTAGATGGAAAATATGAGCTCGTGGACGATGATGCGCCAGCGTCATTATAACGCGATGCCTTGCATTCATCTGACCGTGATTGAAAACGGAGATTAAAGGACGGGTATGCGCAGAATGTCGCGGTGCGAATGTGCATCAGGCAGCCGAAGTGAAAAGGGAAATGCTTCGGTATCCACGCGAACGCCCATTCCCTTTACGCGGGAGAATATGCGGCTGATTGGTATAGCGTTGAGGCAATTTCCGACAATTATCGAAGAAGGTGGACGGGTATCGTCGCGCAATAGAGACCTCGGCACCAATGGTGGTACAATGGACCGCGAAATAGAAACCGTCGACCGGTCCCGATTAGCTCCTAAGGAGGTATTATACTTGCCAGAACAATAGATCTCGGCATTTGAATTTTATTTGTTTACCAATACTATTATACTTTGCATAAGCTTTCGAAAAGAAGCGAAAAAGATATTATTCCTTTAATATAGTTTGCTTTTAATCAATTTCAATATTATCTATAACAAAATATTAAAGAAGCGTCAAAATTGTATTTTAGTAAATTAAAAAGTATTATTTTTTGATAATCTTTCCATTTTAATATTTAGAAGAATATTTTATTTTAGAAATGATAGATTTTGATAAAATTATCTTATGCATATAAATTTACTATTAGAAATGAAGGTAAGAAAAAATGCAATAGGCAAAAGTTTCGTTCCAGAAGTGCCATACGTTTATTATTATTATTACATATAACGTTATATATACGAAACTTTGTTATGTACATATATAAGAGATAGAGCAATGAGAAATACGCCGAATGACGAAGATCGTGATACAGATCGTGATGCAGATTATGAATGAGATTGCAGGCATCTAAGAGATCAGTCGCGGAGGTTCTTGGTCCATATTGTCGGGTGAAGTGAATTACCAATGTCCAGGCGCATATCCACGAACGATACCGCCTAATCCGGCGTGTCCAGCAGCGATGCTACCAGATGGG